AAATATTCATGTTGGATGAAGAAGCAAAGAGTGACGAAAATATCAACCAACAAAACAACAGAACTCATTACATATCTTTTTTTTAAGGTAAATTACAGCCAGATCCATATAAAAAAGGCATATTTCATAGATCCATAATTTTAAAACTCTTCATTTTTTTGCCAATTGCATAAAAAATTTTATATGGAGATAATTTCACTAACAACTATTTATGAAGATTGAATGTACCAAACCTATTCGCTCTCTACCATTCCATCTCACAAGTAGTTCTTAATTCATCAAATGCTGCCTTTGCAACTGGTTTATTGTGGCGCCAATAAAACAAGAAAACAACACATGGGAGGCAAGTGAGCACCTCTGTCCAATCGAAAAAAATAAAACTGTAATTGTGAGGATCCATCACTGATGGACAAGTTCCTATCCAAATAAAAAAAATAAAACAAAACAAGAAGGATGAAAAAACTATGGTTGAGAATTGAGAGATTGTCACATCATCAATGCTGCAAAAACTGTTAGGAAAAAACAATAAAAAAAGTTCTACTACTATTACCAAATCAAAGGGTGGCATAGGTCCAACCTCCTCCCTCCCTCCCTATGATTTTCAACATCTGCACAAGATAGCTCCAATTCGCAGGAAACAAGGAGCCCAGAATTGGTTTCCTATACATGTAGGACACGCTTTCCAAAAGTTTCAAGCCCCATGTTCACCTGGCTCATGAAACATTCCTTGTTCGAACACAAATTAGCCAATTTCTCTCATAAATCTCCCCCACATGCCTTCTCTCATTTAGGCATTTGAGGCTCGCATTATTGATTTCTTTACAGTGCATGAATTCATCACATTCAACAAGCAGATCTCCCACTATTTTTCCCTATTTTATCGCTCAGCCATGTACAGTACCCAAACACTACGTCCTCCAAGCTCAATCTCTCCATCAAGCTCCAAGATAGGCAGCTTGTCCATAAAAATCTATCATACATGAATGCAAGTACAGTTCTACTATCACCAGCCCCTCCTCCTTTGATTCAAAATACAACAACAACAAGCCTTTAAACCACTAAGTGGGATCTGCTACATGAAACTTTCTTCTCCATTGAGTCCTATTGAGTGTCGGATTTTTTATTTAATTCTAATAAATTAATATCATTTTTTATACAATATGCCCAAATCTTTTCAGGTCTATCTCTGCATTTCTTAATATTAGTTGAATCTAAGGGTCTGTTTGGGGCAGCTGCAGCTTATTGAATAATTTGTTGATAAGCTTATTAAAAATAATCTGCTGAGAAACTAGGTGAGATGACTATTATAATTTTTTTTTAGTTCACCTAGATAGGTGCGGTGTAAAAATGTTGTTTTCGGCGTTTTGAAAACGCATAAGTTCCAAAACACAGTTTACCCAAACGGGACAGGTTCGTTTTCAAAATGTCACCGCACCAAATAAGTTGCCCCAAACAGACCCTAAAATATCTATCGAATCATCAGATGGTCGAAGTTTAATGTGACCAGACCATCTAACACGACTCTCTCTAATCTTGTCTGCCACTGGAGTTACACCAAACCTTTCACGAATAGATTCATTTCGCATTTTTTGTCTTAAGTGTCAAGCCACTCATCCAACTAAGCATTCTCATCTCAACAACCCTTAACTTTATTTTATGCTTCTCTTTTAAAGGCCAACATTATGTGTTATAAAGCATTCCAGGTCTCACCAACATCTTATAAAATTTTCCTTCTAGTCCAAGCAGTACTTTTCTATCATGCAATAGGCCTAATGATTCCTCCACTTCAACCAACCTGAATTCTACAAATAGCATCCCTATCTATATCACCATCACTTTGAACAATAGAATCGAGATATCTAAAATGTTCACATAATGATTTGATCACCCATAATTACAACTCTGTCACTAGAGTTACTACTACTAAAATTACATTCCATATATTTAGTTTTAGATCAACTCAAACGAAGAAAGCCTTTAGACTCCAATATAAACCTCCATAATTCAAGTTGGTCAGCTATTGTAAGTCAAGTCAAGTTAACCCAAATGACAATAAGCAAACAAATAGTATTCTTGGAAAAACCAATTGGCAATTACAACCAACACACTGAAATAGAAAATAACAACAGCATGACACACTGAAACCTGAAAGTGCGACAAATGACAACATCAACTACACTAGGGTGGATCTTTCGGGGGGGGGGGGGAGGAAAGTGAAAAGGCCAGATGGTGGGCCGACAACACAGGGGTGATAGTGGTAGCAAAGGGAAGGTGAGAAATTGCTGGAACAGAAGATGGGTTGTAACTGGGTGGTGGCAGCAAGACGAGGGGCTGGACAACGACCAAACTGTAGGGGAAGTGCTACTTTGAACTACGATAGCAAGGGAGGAGGGAGGCGGCAACAACAACAAGGGAAGAGGATGGAGGTAGCAAAAGGGGATGCGTGTTACTGCACGACAGCGAAAGGATACTGTCCAGGACGGTGGCAACAAGAAAAAATGGGAAACTGCAGGAAAAAACAGCAGTATGTGGTTGTTTGGGCAGCTGCAACAGGGAAATGGCGGTCGGGAACAATGTGGGGAGGATGCGGAAGAGTGATAGTGAAGATAAACCCCACCTGGAGACAATATACTGTTGAAACACAACCTAGAACCTTAGGATGCAGAAGAGGGATAGTGAAGATAAACACCATTTGGAGGCAAGATACGGCCGAACTTAAAACCTTAGGATACAGCCCATGAGGGGAAGAAGAGGTGAGAGCGGCTGTCCTAGTACAAAGCATAGAATAAACTAAATCTAGACTCCTGAAAGCAAATATATAATAAGAGGATAAATAGGAGTTGCCCAAGAGGAGAGATCGACTCCTCGGAAGGAAGTAGACTGGACCAATTTGGTCCAGACAAACGCGTGTGATGAGTACCTTTTGGTAGTGGGAATTTTTGCGTGCAAGATGCGATTCCGCATCCGTCTAGCCGTTAGATGCCCTGTGTCACTAAACCTCCAAGTAGGCTTATGTCATAAACACAAGCTTTTGATCAACATGGGCGACCTTCCTATTGTACATAAGTCACGCCTTTTAAAATCAACTATGTTGGATTGATCTATGCCGACGCAAGGGCTTACTTGGTTTAACTGGCCAAGGGTTCAAGTTCAGTAGGAGTCTCAGTCCAGCAGGGGGCTGGACCGATCAACTCCTTTCCTTTGGGTGGGGCTTACAGCCCAATTCCACCGCACCACCCCCCTACTTAAACTGCCCCCTTCCCCGCCCCCTTTTTCTTCACGCCTATCAACCATTATAAATATGTGTGATATGTGTTATTGAGTTTAGGCTTCATTATTTGTTTGATCATTTCAAGTTTCTGTTTGTGTGTTTTTCCTTGTTAGGTTGTATCTGAGAACAGGTGGTGCTTTTATTGTATCCTATTCCGAGGTGGTGATGACCATTATCTGCCCTCCCCACGCTGACCAAAGCATGATCCTTGTCTTCCAGCCAACACCCACCTTCCAACCTCCTGCCGCCGCAATCGTCCCTATCTTACGGGCTCCAATTGTTGTTCTTCTGCCCCTTTCCAGAATCGACCGCCCCACCTCCTCCCTACCGCTTTCCACCTTATTCCCAAGGGCCAGTCTACCTTCTCTCTCCCACACCCCTGATCTCAGACGCCATCCACCCTGCTGCTTCCCTCCTCCAATGCCCTTCCTTCAGCCACTCGAGCTTCTCTCCTCCCTAATTCCGTCCACCAACCACCCAACCTTTTCCTGTTCTATCCCTCCACCTCCAACTCTACCCTACTCAATTGCCAACTACCAAGGGTGACACCCCCTACCCCCAGGAAGTCACTTTCAGGCCCTAGCCAGATCTTGATGTTTGTCGTGTTTTTTTTTATTTTTGTTTGAGTATTGATTGTAACCTTAGTTGTTTTGCTTAATAATATTTGCTTCCATTGCTGCGATTTGGTTAGTTCTGGTATCACATTCCCATCAAGTCCCACAAATTAGACAAGTTAAAAAGCAATAAATTTGGTAAATAACTCTTCTTTTATGAACTTGACACTCACCAAATAGGACATAGGATGAGTCGGACTCTAACCCAAAATTAAAGCTTAACTTGGAGCCTGCTGCTTGAAACAACTAATGGATATATCAAAATATCCCTTACCATGTATATTTTAACCTCATTGGCAAGGGTATAGCCTTCAAAAGCCACTAGAGCCAATGTTCAATATAAGACTTGGACTTCCACAAAAAAAGAATGCTCCAGCCATAAAATCAAAATTTGCATATGCAACCATGATTCACTATTATAAACTAAATCCATCATGTCATGTATCTAAGCGATCATTGAGCATGCCCATACATCTGAACCATAATTGGCTATGCTCAGTATCTTTGGACCACAGAGCAATCTGGCATGGTAAGTAAGCCTTATGCATCTTGAGTGGTCAAGCTCTTGGAATGTTACACCCAATTCTTCACCAAAAAATTGGAGTCAACCAAAACCATTTGCAATTAGACACACTTCTTTGAGTCAAATTATGAGTCAGGTTTGGAGTTAGGAGTCTGTTATGACGGCGCCCAAGGCAATTTAGTCTTTATTTGCTCAACGGCAATTTAATATTTTGTCATTTATTATTGGTTAGTATAAATAAGGCTAACATGTCTAGGGTTAGGATTATACATGAGAATGTGGTTGCGACACAAAGGGCTTGACAAGAGACTTCCCACCCCTAAAGTTGTGGGACTTGGGAGAGATCGCCTACCTCTCAAATTGTGGGTGCTTATCTTTGTACTCTTCTTGAGTATTTAATGTTTTT